CCAATCAAAAGGATTCTATGATTCTGTAGAGGTTAAAAACAGTTTCTAAAACCCTGAAGTTAAAAATTATCACAACTAGAAAAGTCTACCTAAAACTGGCAGTGTACAAGGCCACAGTTTGTACAACAGCTTCTCAACTAGTTTCACATTGACTCAAGCTCACCGTTTGATGCTGATGAACATGGAGGCAATAAACTAAGCGGGGAAAAATGCTGTCTGTTAAAATTGGCAGCTGCAGGTGCTCCACCAAGAGGTGCCCCAGGGGCGTACATCTGACCTCCCGAAAGGTTGGAGGCGAAATTACCCAGGTGTGTAGAAGGTGGTGTTACAGAAGCATAGGGTGAATCCATACTGACGATACCTAGGAGAGAAATGGGCACAAGTGACTCCCAGTACTCCAAAATATCCATCAAGAGGTCACCTATATCATGAAAATAATCAAGAAAGAAGGAAAACTTTTATCTAATTAGGGGTGTGTGTGTTACTATTTTCCAAAGCAAGCTAGGAGTCTTCATATTCTCGAAGTCTTGGCAGTTCTGTTGTATACATAAATCAAGAACAACTCTTATGTTAGAATGCAGGCACCTCGCACACAAATAAATTAAGGGAATGTAACACCTTCTGATATAACTGGACATCAGACACAGAACTGAAGATTTTATTAACCTGTAATTTAAACGTTCTAGGTTTGTGTATTTTCTGAAGTATGATTTTGTATCAAGAATGGTAGAAATAATACTAAATATTGAAAGACCTTCTCCATTAATGTTTTAGTTGAAGAACGATGTCTACATATACCAGGATCAACAATGAAGTGGTGGTTGTTTTTTTTCAACCCAGGGATACATTTTCACTTGCTTAGGAAAAACATATTTTGTGAAACTCAAAGAGCACTAATTAGCCAAGGTATTCTAAATTCAAGAATTATTACCCCTATAATATTCTCCTCAACGGAACAACACCACCTTCGGATTTTAAGTTTCAAAAACCATTAAGGAAGCTCGTTACCACCCAGCTGCTGGGGCACTCACATCTTTCCCCTGCCCATAAAGCACATGACAAGAGATTCTCATTTATCAAGATCCAATCTTGACATTTTGCCAAATTCTTCACACTCTCAGGTTCTTCTTTCCTATGAACTAAAGGTAATACTTCCTGAGTCTACAGACACCTCTGAGTTAATCTGCTGCGCCTGCAGCCTTCCAAAAAAGACACTGTTGAGATAAAAGTAGGCCCGTGGTGGGAGCATTGTTTTACTCAAGAACCCAGAGGCGTACTCGGGTGATACACAGCGTAGAGAGTGCCCAAGTCAAAATGCTAAGAACAAAGCGAAATATTAAATCTACAAAATTCATGGAGAGAGCCTCAAAAGCTACTCCACACCATGACATTCACAAAATAAAAAAACAAAACAGCTGTTGCATCTCTTGCTCATAAACAAAGCTACATAAACAACTCACAGGTCCTACTGCATCAGGCACAGACGGTACTGACTTTCTGGGAGCAACAAAAACAAGTTCTGCGACAGCCCCTCTGTGCAGAAGGCCAAACATTTCTCTACGAAATTCAAGAAGTCAATGAAATGCAGTTTCTTGATCGAATTCAGTAGTTAAGAAAACACACCTCTTATTAAAAGTTCACCTCAAAAGACGATTTTTTTCCACCATCCTAATGTCCTGAGGACGCTGCGTATTTTTCTGCAGCCTCAGGGCAAGAAGCAAGTTGTCACAAACGAGAATGGTTATTAGCTGGTGGTAGGGAAGGGAGGTGGAAACGACAGCAAAGAGTTTTATTATCTCAGCTATCACGGAAGAGTAGAATGGAAGGGCAAAAAGAACGCCTCAACCCGACTTCTGTCAGGCTCATCAGCTGCAGAACAATTAATTAGATTTGTCAGGTGGTGCTTCAGAAGAAGACAAAAGCAGCAGTTGCTCTTTAAGTGTATTATTAAGGTATGAACAAAAAACACGGACTTACCTGAGGGACTTGGAGCTGGCCTCTGTAACGGTGGCCTAAAACCTGGGGCTTTGGAAGTATCAGACTGATGTAAAGGATCTGAATTTGGCAAAAAAGACGACTTTCCTGACAGCATAGACTCTGGTGTTGTCTGAGATGAAACGACGGAACCTCCCCAGAAGGCGTGAGCAGACGTAGGACTGTTTTCAAACAACGTACTAAAGGGCCCGAATGGTAAAGTAGCACTGAAATTGTTACCCATGGGTTTGTTTGCTGGATGGGCTGAATTCTGAGGAGCACTTTGTGTACTTAAGGTAGAAGGAAGCTGCACTGAAGAAGGAACGCTGTGGGGCCTTTTGATGTGATTCACGTTGAGGACCGCAACAGAAGAATTTTGCACAGGAGCTGGATTCTTATGGACGCCACCGCTCCCATGGCCGGGCGGTCTGATGGCCGGGGTCTCCATCTTAGCTGTGGGCTGGGAAGACCCCACTGATGTCTGAGACACGGGGTAGGTCCTCGGGGTGCTCGTTGGACCTGCCACAGGAGCAGATGAGCTCGTCGCTGCTAAGCTTGGAGGCACAACCATGCGAGAATCTGGCGCGGGAACCTGAGGTTGCTGGAGAGGGGGCCTGGCCTCCTGCAGAGGAGCTCCCGGAGGCTGCTGATGAGCGGGGTGCACGGAAGAGCTGCCGCCTCCAGAACCGGGCTGCCTACTGCTGGTGGAGCTGCCCGTTTCCACCGCCGGTGGGCTACCCACCTCCGCATCAGATGACGGCGCGCCTTTGTTGGGAGAGGCCGCGGCGCAGTCGGAAGGACTGCTTCTGGAAACGCCCGCCGGCTGCACGGGGGGAGAGGGAGACGTGGGGGAAGACGTGGGGTAGTGTTCTTTGGCAGTTGGCATCGGATACGTGGCGTTCGTTGGCGCTGTGCTCGTGTTGCTCGCCGTGGTCGTCACTGTGGTGGTCGTGGCGTTCGATGTCTTCACGACCGTGACGAACAGCTGTCTTCTAACTGAAGGTGAACTCGGACCGCTGTTTGCAGAAGAACCAGGCACAGTAGAAGCTGCGGAACTGGTTGTAGCTGTTGGACTGGTTGTCAAAGAACTTGCTGAATTCACCTGAGAACCGGCGCTGTTCTGACTGTTATGACGAGGCACCATGTGAGGTTTCGGTGAGTTGGTAGCTCTTGCAGGGCTCAACGGCCTAACGGGAAACGGGCCCCATGTGGACTGAGCTGGTGGGAAAGTACCTCCAAAGTGTGTCATGGGCAACCGAGGCGGACGGATTTGCTGGAAAGTCTGAGCAGCAAGTAAAGCGTGTGCAAACTGCGGAGGAGGATATGCTAATGGAAGAGAAACTTGGAAACCAGGCCGCACGTTATTCACGGGGTTCTTAATGGTTTTGTGAGCAGATGCTGAAGAAATTGCAGGCACGGTGAGTGCGGAGGCAGTCTGAGACGTTGACGAAGCAGCTACAGTGGTCACTTTGATGCCCACGAGAGAACTGTTAGCAGCTGTAGTGGTGGCAGGTGTCGACGACCCTATTTTGGAGTTTGCAGCCGAACTTTTCAAGCGGTTCTTTGGAATAAGTTCATCAATTTCCTTATCTGGATCCTTAATGAGAGCGTTGATCAACTGTGTGGCCTGTCTTGTTGATTCTGTGCCACCCCTACAGAAAAGAAGGAAGAGAAAAGGCAAAGTGTTATCTAAAGCATTTACATACATTATAGTGAAGTATGTCCAACACATGCTCCAGCCTGCCTTCCGTCACGCTAATGCAGACAGAAAAATATTTCTCTACCTGAAGACCCAGTCTGGCATGTTCTCACTGCTGACAATTATTTAAGAAGGTCAAGTTGAGAAGTCTGACTCCAAAAAACCCAATATGGTTAAAATGTTTACTTCCCCACATACACCTACATGTATAGCCATCTCTAAACAAGTCTAAACACAGAAGCCTAACTTGTAAGCTGTCCCCTTATCTCAAAAGTCTTTTATACCCATGGGGTGGCACCAACCAGCTGTTCTCTTGGTTTCCCCAACCCATTCATCTCCCCTGCCACAACATGATGTTTCAGTGGACAACAAGGTCAAGCTTTTTCTTTTTTCTATACAGAGAAGTGTTGTACAATGAAAAAAAATCCCCCAGGAAGGAGCAAATCAAGCTGCCTGCTTACCTTATCGTTATTATTCTATCTCCAGTTTTGTCCTTCTGTTTGTCAATGTCTATGTGTGCTCCCGTGCACTCACGTATCGCATTGATGTTACATCCTCCTCTGCCAATGACTCTGGAAATCACAGTTGAAGGAACAGAAACCTTCTTGGATCTATACAAAAAAGAAACAATATTAACTGGGAAATGCTTCCACAGCACAAAGCACTGGGCAAGTTGAGTAAAGACTACGTTAAAATTTATGGTTCAGTTTTCACAAAATTGCTGTTACTTATCAGATCTGCTAAGAATGTCATTCAGTAATGCCAGACAGGGATACAGTAGATGAAACATTCTGGAAAAGGGGGAGTCACAGGAGTGACTCAACAAGGGGGAGTCACAGGAATGTTCTGCTTACCTTCTCACAACTTCCTTCCATCCTTCTTCCCTTTTCTGACCACGTTTAGGACTAGCGATGGTTAGCTTTCCATTTGGAGAAGAAAGGGGAGAGGGACCAGATTTTGTACAAGTCGACAAGGAATTACTCGTCACTTCATTAATAACTTCAGACAACCTTCAAGAGAAATTAAGTGACGTCATTACACAGTATTTAAAAAAAAAAAAGTAGATGACTTGAATTTCATCCCTGCTCCACCCCCTCCCTCTTTTTCTCTTTTAGCACGAATACTATTAAGAAGTTCCTTAAATTAAGATGGTTACATCTCAAAATCTCCCACCAGTTGCTTCATTCCAGGTCGACTGGAAGATTTCTGCCGTCAGAATCTACTAAGCTCAAGTTCATACTGCAGCAACATTTATGCTCCTTACATACATATGCACCACAGCAGGGAAGCACTGCCTTATCCTCTTCCCAACAACCCATTTAAGAACCCAAGTCCTCAAAGACAAGGTCACAGCGTTCAAACGTAGGGCAACCACCACCTTAAAGCTGTGCTGCCACAGCAACTTACTTGATGGATGACTTGCCAGTAACTGCTTTCCTCTCGTCCTTTGGACAAGTGACGAGAACCGACGGTTGCTTCTTGTTGCTCTGTGTGTTAGTAACGGCTGTGGAAGAATGATTGTCACTTTTGTGGCTGCTGTTGCTATTGCTGCTTTCGTCGCTACAGCTGGAAATCCTCATGTTGTCGCTGTCACCACTTTCGCTCGTGCTGCTGCTCTTCGACTCCCCATTCACTTTTTCTGATTGGCTATAGGAAATTGGGAGTTGGTCATCAAATATGATCTGAACATTATCAGGGGCTACTTTGTTTTTCCTGTTTTTCCTTTTGGAGCTTGTTGTGGTGATGGTATTGTTCCTCTTCCCATGGGAACCCGCTAATGTTGTCCAAGTTGCAGATATCCCTATGGTGGTTGTAGTAGTAGCACTGGGAGGCTCCATCGGGACTTCTGGATCATCTGGTGGAAGAGTGAAAAAACAGCACTTTTTTAGCAGGCTTGAGAATACTTGCATGCTTTTGTTGCCCACATCACACTTGATCTATCAAATGTCCTTTCAGTCTACCAGAGTGAGGGAACAAACAGTGGAAACCATTCTTCAGTTTTTTTTTGTTTTGGTTTGGTTTGGTTTTTTTTTTTTTTTTTTCATTCTTCAACCACATGAAACTCATGCCACAAGATACAGAACAGCCAGGTTTCAATGGATAATAACATAAGGATGCATATTTGGAATTTTCCATATTGTCTGTTGATTCACCTAATACTTATCACCATTCTGTTTGTGAGCTAAAAAGAAAAAAAAGAATTACTTGGTTTTAAATACTGGGATCTGGAATTAAAAAGAAAACCAAGCCAACACCATCCTCATGGTAAAGTTGACCCGTAACTCTTAGTGAAGCCATCACGTTTATCTATTGGCTTAATAGAAAAGGTAAAGGCAAAGGAATGCTCAACAGGTCCTAAGAAACCTTGTATTTAAGTTTTGTCAGGAAAAACCATTTGTAACACCAGGAATAGAATCAAGACTGTTTTAAAAATAAGGCAAATATCTAAAATCACCTTCAGGTTTTAGCTTCTCTTTCTCCTGAGCAGCTTGAAGTTCAAAATTTTCTTTATTTTTTGCTTCTATTTCTTCTAGTTTTCGTCGTTGTTCTTCTTTTTTCTTCCTTCTTTTCTCCTTCCTTTTCTCTCTTTTGGCAGCCAAAGCCAGCCTCCTGCTTTCTTCCCTTAGCTAAAAGTCAAGCACGTGGAAGAGTTACTACAAGATGTACAACACACTTCATGAAAAGCTAAATGCTTTCAACTTCCTAGGATGCTCAACTTGTATTTTAGACTAACACATTTACAACACAGAAGCTAAATTCTCTATGATCCATATTTCCATGTGTATTTTTCTCCCAAACAGACTGCTCTTGTTCACAGAAGGACAGCATAGAAACAGAGAACAGACACCATATAAACCTAAGTCAGTCTTCCAAGACATGTTTCCAGGCTTTCTTGTGCAACCTTGTGTGTCTCAGCAGTACAACCCCAACAACACCCATCTCCCTTCCAAAGATCAGGAATCAAAACAGCTTAAGCTAGCTTGAAGAGAAACTGTGCACATTTGTCACTACATGTGTATTTTGAGTTGTCTATCCAATTTCCACTACAGTGCTATTGCCTCTAGTAACCACAGCGTACTTTTAATATGCTGTATCTAGTACATACTTTTTATACAATATATTTTCACTTTTTTTTTTTTTTTTTTTTTAGTTAAGACACAAAATATGGTTTAGACCTAAAATCCACACCACTGTGACTGGAAAATGCCCATTTATCATAGAACCGACAAAAAAAAATACACTCAAAAATCCTTCTTTTGGTACAGTATTATTTCAGAGGAAATAGTTGGAGTTTTTTTGATCCGATTTCTCTGAATAGCAACCCAAGTAAAGTTCAAAGATTACCTGAACAAGGTGTCCATCTCTAGACACTGTAATTATGTTAATTACACCAACTTCTATACTTTAATACATACTGTCATCGATCTTACAGTCTTGAATGAACTTGAAATTGGAATTTTATCAAATATTCACAGCTCTAAACTCTGTCAACTTGCCTTTTCCAAGTCTAGTTCCTCTAAAAGTATGCTTGCATTTTTGTTGGCTTCAGCAGCCTGTCTATCTTTGGCTTGAACAATTGATTCCATACACAGGTGGCACTTCTTCAGCATCTCCTGAAATGACAAAATATATCAACCTTCTGTCTGAACAAGTAATGCTGGGAGTGTCAGAATGCAGCATGGCAACACTTACTATACTTGTAATTTATTAACCATTGCATGACTTGCACAGGTGTTCCGCCAATGCCTAGGCCTAACATGAATGACATAACCAGCAGAAGGAGAAACCAATAAGTAGACTGTATTGTAAGCAAAAACTTCATGACATGACTGACTGCCAGGGGTACAAACAAGTCAACCAGCTTGTATATAACTGATGCCACCCCCAACGATCCCAGATAAGACATGACTCAGACCACAACAGGTGGTATAAACAGAGAACCGAGGTTTCCAATAGTTGACAAGGGAAACAGCCAGACCAGAAAGCTAAACAAATACGAAAAAGGCGCCCACACAGAGACTCTCACCTGATTAGCCCGCGTTCACCAAGGTCTAAACGGACCGGGGCCCAGCTCCAGGGAGAGTCAGGAGGTCTGCCCTGAACCAGGAAGCTCTGTGGAGTGCACTCCACAGACAGACACTCCTGACTCCCTGCAAGTGGTC